GAAGTGGGAAGGAAAACCAGGCTTTCCGATCGCTCAGGTGTTCCCGCCCCCCTTCACTCCCCGCCCCTGGGGACAAGGTTCCCCTTTGTCTCACCCTGGGTGGGCCAGGCTTGTCCAGAAGCTAGGGGATGGATGGAGCAACTTTGAAGGGGCTGGCCAACTCTTTTCTTTAGGTGGGGGGAGGAAAAGGGGTAAGAGAAGGGGAAGAAGGAGGAGAGATGGGGAGAGAAGGGGTGGAGGACTGAGAAAAGGGGGAAAGTGAAAGAAGGAGAGAGGGAGAGAGAAAGAAGAAGGGAAGAGGGGAAAAAGAAGGGAGAGGGAGAAGGAGGAAGAGAGGGAGAAGAAGAGGGGGGCAGGGAGAAGAAGAGGGGGAACAATGGGGCCTAGGCCTGAGCCATTGGCCAAATACCACACAATGAGGTCCAGATTGGAATTCTCTAGGGTTTGAGGCTATCCTCCATCAGGATTGACCTGTGGGTCTCATGGGTAGGCAGCTCCAAGGAGGGAGGGAGGGAGAGCAGCAGGGAAGCTGAGGGGCATCCTATAGTGTTGAACCCCCTGCTCTAGGACCCTCCCCTTCCCCCAATCAGGGTGCCATTTCTAGGGCTTCTGCCAACAATGGCCCCTGGGGGACCATGCTGCTTTCCTACCCCCATGGGATCTCCTACCACTGGGAAGGAGGCTCCATCTACTTTAGGGGCTGGGCAGGTCCCTCCCACATCTCTCCATCTGGCAGTTTGGGGTGTTTGGGTGGAGTAGAGTGGACAGGAGCTGAAGCCCAGTGTCCTGGAGGGAAACCCCAAGTTCCATGCAGAAGTCAGAGCTAGGACTCATCAGAGTAGTTGCAGGTCCCAGATGATGGAGCTGCTTCCTGGAGTGAGGTCTCACCGCCCCCCCCCCTTAACCCCAGGAGTAATTTCTTAAGCTGTTCAAACTTGTCAGCAGCCATTTCAATGCCTTGGTTTTTAGGACCCCCAAATAGCAGGAATTCAGGTTGAGTCAGGAGCTCAAAGCTCAAAGTAGGGGCAGCTCTGGCCCTTGGGCCTCTTGAGTGAGTGGATAGGTAGGGGTGGGGCTCCTTTCCTTACCTCTGCTGCTTTTGACACTGGCCAGCACCAAATCCCCAGTGCCTTCTCCTCCCTGGGCCTTCTCCTGGGGCCTTCTCTTCCCTGGGCCTTCTCCTGGGGCCTTCTCTTCCCTACCCTTCTTAGTCTTTGCAGTTGAATCTTTATCTTCCTTATGCCCCAGAAGCGTGGCTGGCCTCTGAGATCTGGCCTGGCCCCTCAGCTTTGTTCTTTCTCTATTCATCATTCCCTTGGTGATTTTATCCACTGCTGGGCATTGAGTTAGCATATCTGTGCAGACCTGGCCAAGTCCTCAGCAGCTCCAGAGCTGCCCTGCCACATTCTTGTCTGCCTACCTGCCGGCCACCTCCACCCTGATGTCTTGCAGGCATCTCAGGCCTAACCAGATCCTAGGGCAAAAATGGATGTCTTTGGCTCTGCCCCAGACCCCCCTGCCCCCCCCCATCCCTGGCCACACGAAACTTCCTGTCACTCAGGTTTGGGACTGTGGCTTCATCCTAGCTGTGTCCCTCCACCTGAACCCCTACCATCCAGCCAGGCAGGGGGAGATACATGAAAACAACTACAAAGAGCAAAGCCTCAACTCCCTTTGAAAAGCCATCCCATAAAGCATTCTGGGACCAGCACATCTTTCTAGGCAGAGCAAGCACTGCAAGCTTCTCAGATACATCACACTGGGCCGCCAACACCTAATTGCAGCATTTTGGTTTTTTGCTTTTAGGCAATTGGGGTTAAGTGACTTGCCCAGCATCACACAGCTAGTAAGTGTAGAGTGTTTGGTCTGAGGCCAGATTTGAACTCAGGTCCTCCTGACTTTAGGGCCCGTGCTCTATCCACTGCGCCATCTTTTAATAGCTTTTTTTAAATAGATGTTGCCACACTGACTCCTTGGGATTTCCACACTACATGCAATGAAATTCTCTTGAAATAGAGAGACTGCGTGGGAACAGGAGGAGATGCATGTGCCCAAGGTGAGCTGCGATGCCCCAACCTGATGGTCCCATTATAAAAGGTAACATCTGAGGGACATTCAATATAAAAGAAGCCCAGGAGGAAGAGGAGGAGAAGAGGAGGAGGAGGAGGAGAAAGAAGAAGAGGAGAAGAGGAGGAGGAGGAGAAAGAAGAAGAGGAGGAGGAGAGGAGGAGGAAGAGAAGAGGAGGAGGAGAAAGAAGAGGAGAAGAGGAGGAGGAAAAAGAAGAGGAGGAGAGGAGGAGGAGGAGGAAGAGGAGGAGGAGGAGGAGAAAGAAGAGGAGAAAAGGAGGACGAGGAAGAGGAGGAGGAGGAGAAAGAAGAAGAGGAGAAAAGGAGGACGAGGAAGAAGAGGAGGAGGAGAGGAGGAGGAGGAGGAGGAGGAGATTATGATTCATATTTGTGTGGTGCTTTTTGCCATCTTTTTAAAGGTCAGCGTTCTGCTGGGGGTTCTACATGGTCAAATCATGGAGCGTAGCAGTCTCAGGAGAACTGCGGTCATCAGTGTCCCTCCCCCCCCAAAGGGTGATGGAAAGGAGGAGAATGCTAAGACTCTTTGAGGGCCAGGGGAATGAATGGGCCTTCTGGCTAGGCTGTCACACACATCACTCAGGACACATATGACTAGAATCTGGGGACATTCGACATGCAATTCAAGTGAAGGGTAACACAGGGACGCTATAACACAACACACAATATGTAACACAATGATCTAACATGACAATCTGAGCAGTGGTCCCAGAAGTAGAAACCATGCTCCAGAATGGCCCTGGATGAGAAGTCCTGGGCCAGGGGTGGGGAAGAACATGCCACATCCGAGGATTATAGACTTGGGTCTGAAAGGTCTTACCCTCTCATTTTATAGAGGAGAAAACTGAAAGCCAGTGGAGGGAGGGCCTAGCCTCAAGGGACAATTAGTAAATGGTGGAACCTGGATTTAAACCCAGGGCTTCTGACTGCAAATGTAGCATGTGACCCATTGTGTTGGCAGGGGCCCACAGTTGCATTGAAGTATCTCATTTTATTAGAGTTTGCAAAACATTTCTGTTGTTCCTATGAGATAAGTAGTGCAAGTGGTCTTATCTCCACTTTACAGATTAGAAAACTGAGGCTCAGAGAATGTAAGTGACTCATCTCAGGTCAAATTGCTACCAGGTATCATGGTGGAGCATGCACTGAACATTTGCCCCTCAGTGGGAGGCCCTGCTGGCAGAGCCCAGAATGCAGAGGGAGCCCCGAACAAGCAGACCCCATGACCACAGGTACATCACATTCCCAGAGACTTTGGTGAAAAAGCTCAGGGCCAGGCAGGCCACCCACAGGGCACTGAGGGGGCAGTGACACTGGCCCTACGAGGTCTCTTGGTAAGAAAGAAACAGGGGGAGGGGGTAGATGGGAGAGGGGGAGTATTCTGGGCCCAGAGGCCACCCAGGTTGCCAGGTCCGTCTCGGGTCTCCTCTCCCGGTGCTACCCTCTACTCTTCACTGTGAACTCTGCTATTCAATCTCAGGAGAGACAATGGGTATGGTGCTGGGGGGGGCGGGGGAGAGGGGAGGAACAGGCGGGGGAAGAAGCAGCGAGGGCTGAGAAAGCTCTGGCCGTTGGTGGGGGAGAGGTGGCCCCGCACCCTTTGGAGAGCTTGGCTGGCTGACTCCCACCACTGCAGCCTGGAGCAAGACTTGGCAAGAAGAGACAGGTCCGGGAGGGGGGAGGAAGCTGGGAGGGGCAGGTTCGTCTTTTAATGGTTTCTTCTTCTCCCCACTGGCTTCTGCCTATTGCTGCAGGCTCTGCACGTGGGGGGGGGAGGATGGGGATGTGGGAGCCCCACCCTCATCCAGGGGCCTGCCAGGGTCCCTGCCCCTCTCTGGGCCCTGGGCGAAGCTCATTAGCTCCAAGGAGAAGCCCTAGGCCTTCCCCTCCCCAAAGCTTGTCACACAATTAGCTGCCATCTACCCGCAAGTTACTGCGTAATTAGGTGTGTGGGGGAGCCGGGTGGGAGGTGGAGGGTGGGTGCTGGGCCAGGCCATTAGCCTGCCCTGACTGCAGCTTGCTCCTTGGGCCATTATCAGGCCTGCTGTTACTGGGGAACTTGGGGGTGGGGGGGGTGGGAAACTCTTTGGCTAAGGCCACCAGGGCATCTGCATAACAATACCCACATTGTGGCTCATTGGGCTGTGCCCCTGCAGAAGGGCAGCTGGTGCTATTGTGTACCAGAGTGGTCCACTTCCTGAGTCTCCTTGGCCCAGTGGCCTTCGGAGCTCAGTTCTGACTTGGTCCAGTGCTCCTGGGATGAGGTCCTCTCAGGTAGGCTAAGGAGCCAGTGCTTGGCTCTTAGATATTCAGTGGGCTCCTATCTGTGGTGCCGGGGGGCTTTCTGGGAGGGATCTTTTCTCAAGTCAACTTACTAAGAGTCCCTAGGCCTAGTCTACACCCCCCAGCTTCTGCCCCCTTTAGGGATGCTGAGCAAACTACTTCAGAGCTGTGAGGCCCAGGCTGCTCATTTCAAATTAGGGGCTTGGCTTGAGTGGTCCTGAAAGCCCCCTCCGATTCTGATATCCTCTGTTCTTTGTGTTAGGGTTGCTCCCAGAGTGGACAGTCTCTATTCTAAGGTCCCTTCCGTGTTCTAAGGTCTCTCCCAGACCTGATATTCCCCACTGTCCTCCCAGCTTGGACATTCAAGACTTCAAGGCCCCTGGGAGCTCTGACAGGCCAGGAATCAGCAGGACACTCCAGAGGTCATTCTGGTCACCAGAAGGATCCCCCAACCTTATGCTCAGCTACAACTTCACAGGCCCTTGACTTCAAGTGGTCCCAAACAAGGGTCCCTGTAGTATCTACAACCTAGATGCCCAACAGATAGGCAGCCTTTGCCCCAGGATGGCAGTGAGGGCTCATAGACCTCCCCAGGAAACGCTTTTGACTTTTACATCTCTCAGATTGTTAGCAAGTTAATAAACCCATCTTTTCTCTTGGTTCTTTCTCCCCACTGTTCCTAGATCTCTCCTCTGGGGCCAAGAAGAACATGGCCCATGACTCATCCACACGGCTATTGTGTCTCCAGATCCTTCCACCAGGCCTCAGACAGCCCCCTCTGGCCACTCTCCTAAAATGGGGTGCCCAGGACAGAATGCACCACTTTAGATGGGCCGGGCCCTGGGATTCTTTAAATGCAGCCCGAAAGTGTTCATTTGGTGAGTTGATTTTTTGTGCCCAAGTATGAGACTTTACATTTCTCCTCCCTGCTTCCATATATAGTAGCTTGTCTCTGTCGGTCTCTGTCTCGAGTCTTGATCCCTCTCATTCAACCTTCCAGGGCAGGCATTGTCCTGAGGCTCCATGATTAGCTTCTCATTATGGGGAAGGTTTTCCTTAGCTCTTACCTCAGCTCTTCCTGCTATAGTCATTTGGCCATCTTTGGGGGCTCACCAGGCCCCTTGCTCTGTGCGGGTGTGTACATGTTCAGGCTGCAGTTCATGCCTTATGGGGCCCAGGCGGGGCCAAGCTCGAGACAGCCTCATCTGCTTTGCTTTCCGTCTCAGTACGTTTTGCAGAAGTCATGTCTTCTGACCAGGATGCTCTCTGCTCTCTCACTGGTGTCTGTGGAGAAGAGGACTGGGTTTAGAAGCAAGGGAGGCAAGTTCAAAGCCCAGCTGGGCCACTTGCGAGCTGGATGACGGTGGACAAGTCACTGCCTCTTTAGGCCTCTCTTTTCTATCCGGAGCCTTTGAGCTGGAAGGGGCCTTGCCAGGTCATTTATCTAGTTCAGCTTTCTCATTGGCCAGATCTTGTCACAGCTTTAACTCCAGAGGCCCGCAGCCCCCTTCCCCCCAGCTGCTTTTCCCCCTCCTCCCATGGCCCGGCCACCTTCCTGTGCCCGCCCTCCCCCAGCGGCCTTACAATCCCTCCCTCCTCTTTGCAGGGCCAGTGACAAGTGTGCCCAGCTTAATTGGTTGGCATGAAAGGCAGTCCTGACACTAATTGGCTGCATTTGGCATGCAAGCCCCCAGGCCTCCCCCTTTTCTGCCTCCAAATCCTCCCACCCCCTTCCCAGGAACCTTATCAATCCCTGGCCCCTGCCAATTAGGCTTGTTTGCCTCCTTTTCTTTCCCTGATGGGGCTTAGTTGGGATTTATCACGCTCCATGGGGGGAAGAGGGGGGCAAGGAGGGAAGAGCCTGGGGGGGTGGGAGCCGGTGGGGCCCAAACCCCCTTATGTTCAGTTCCTCAGGGTGGCGAATAGGCCAAGAGCCAGGATGCATGCAGGGGACTTCTGACTGTTAAGTGAGAACCGCTTTATGCCCTCCCCTACCTCCCCTCTTTTCCCCTCCCTTCCCCCTTCCCCCTCCCTCCCTTCCCTTCCTCTTCCTCCCTTCCCCTTCCCTTCCCTTTCTCCCTTCCTTGTCCCTCTTCTCCCTTCCGTTCCCTTCCTTCTTTCCCCTCCCTCCCCCTCCCTCCCTTCCCCCTTTTACCTTCCTCTCCCTCCCTTCCTCTTCCCTTCCCTTTTCTCCCTTCCTTGTCCCTCCTTTCCCTTCCCCTTCCCTCCTCCTCCTCCCTTTGTGAACTTGGAGAAAAGTTGTGCAAAGTGGCTGAAAGTCTGGCTCCTGCTGTCTGTGTTGCTGGATTTGAAATTAGGGGATCTGAGATGAGAGGTGGAAGGGGCCTTAGAGTCCATTGAGTCAAGACCTTCATTTTATAGAGGAGGGGACTGAGACCCAGAGGTTAAGCACCTTGCAAAAAAGGAAGTAAGTGTGACCTTGAACAAAAGTGCATACCTCTCTGGGCCTCCATTTCCTCACTTGTAAAATGGGTGTTTGGACTTGAGGAGGGTCTTGAGGGTCCTGTCCAACTGGACAAAAGCAGAAGTAGCAGAGCGAGCAGTAGCTGCTGGGGTGGAGTGGCAGAGCAGAGCTGCTCATTCCCATCCATCTGCACCAAAACCAGCTTGGTCCTTGTTGGCATGGCTGCAGGCAGGTCCTGGAGTGCAGAGCAAGGATCACCAGATTTCAGAGCCCCCTTCTTGCTCCTCCAAGGTTCCCATTATTTCTCCTTCCAGAATGATTGCTTCTCTCTAATGGATGAAGGTCCAGGACAAAGTGCCCCCTCCTGCTCAGGGGTCCTCTCCTTCCTGCCCACATGTGCCTTCCAACCTCCTCACACAGATCCGACTTCACTTCAGAGTCTGAGACTTTCCTCTGGTTTTTCATGGAACACTCCTCTCATGAACCATGGCAGCAGATGCAGGGGGTCCACTAGCCTCCAGGCTCTCCCCGCTCCGATCCATCCTCCTCCCTACTCAATAAACTCCCGTGGCTTCAAGCCCAAACTCCTCATTTGCCATTCCAAGCTGAGTACAGTCTGGCTGCCAAATCTCCCCTCTGACACACCCTATCCCAGTTCAATTGGCTGACTTGCTCTTCCTCATCCATGACCTTCCATCTCCTTCTTCCATCCCCTATGCCTGTAATGTCCTCTCTCATCTTTGTTTCTTGGATTTCGTAGCATTTCAGGTCGTGGCACCTTGTAGATGAGACCTTTCCTGCCATCACCCTGGCTCCACCCCATTACCTGGCATTGAATTTGAAGGAATTTCCTTATCTGGGAGTTCACAGGTCCAGCAGGCTTTGGGGCCAAGGTCAGGAGCTCCAGCTGAGGTCTGTGACTGGGTCATGGAGTCAGAGTTGGGGTGCTGCCTAAGGCTTTCTCCAAAGAAGTGACATACAAGTGAATCCATGAACTCTGGGGTACAGGCTCCCCCTCTTTGGGCAGACCCCCCTCTGGACAGGCCCTCTTCTCTGGGCAGACCTTCCCTCTCTGGGAGACCCTCCCCTCTCTGTATAGGTCCTTTTCTAGGCAGGCCTCCCCCTTTGGACAGGCTCCCCTCTCTAGGCAGGCCCCCCCATGTACGCTCCCCTCTCTGGGCAGGCCCCCCTCTCTGCTCTCCCTCCTCTGTGCTTTCTCCTCCCATTCTCCAAACTCTTGACCCAGGCTTTGATTTCCTCTCCCCCTTGGAATCCTTTTCTTCCTGGCTTCCTTCCTGGCTTCTTTCTTCCATCCTGGCTAAGAACCCTTCAACTGCTCTAATAAGCTGGCGTGTCAAGAGGCTGCCCTCCTTTTCTGGAGCTCTTTCTTTCACCCTCTACAGCAGGGAGACTTCTTTGCATGGGTGGGCAGTTTGGCGCACTGGAGTTGGAAGACTTCATGCTGGAAGGGACCCTCTAGTGCCACGCCTTCATTTTATAGGAGGGAAATTGAGGCCCAGGGGGTTAAGTGACTTGCCCAAGGTCACAGAGCTAGTAAGCTAGGGCAAAGCCCAGGTCTATGATGTGTGTAGCAACTTCCCAGGGAGAAGTGAGGCTCTGCCATTGGCTAGTAGCGGGATCATGTAACTAGTAGGTATCTGAGGCTGCATTTGAACTCGGGTTTTTCTGACTCTAGGCCCAGCCCTCTGTGCTTGGTGGGGCCACCAGCTGCCTCAGGAAGGCAAGTATTCTGAGAAGTAGAAATGCAGTGGGGCAGTGAGGAGGCCTGGTTTGTGACAATGCTAGGAGACAAGATGCCAAGGTCAGGAAGTATTTAGTAATGTGGTTTCCCTGGGCCACAGACTCCACAGAGAGAAAAAATGTGAAGGAGGGCCAGAAAAGTCAGTGGGAGCCCAACTGTCAAAGCTCTGGAGAGAGAGGCCAAAGACTGAGAGGTAGGCACTGAGCTCCTTGAGAGTAGAGGTACAATGACCCAGAAGTCTACAGGTGATGGGAACAAAAGTCTGGACCAGAGGAGAGATAGTGAGCTGGACAGAGCCAAACCGAGCCTCAGAGGAGAAGAGGATGTTCAGAGATGGAAACAAAAAGGCTGCCCTGGCAGGCCCTTCTTGGGCCCTGTGGCAAGATCCAGGGGACCCCAAGTGTTGTTGACCCTCGGTATGGCCCCCCCACCCAAGTGCACTGAGTCTTAGGAAGATCATTTGGTTGGCTGCATAGAGGATGGCTCAGGGTCTTTCTGAAGCAGGGAGGTTGTTACAGTGTCTAGGTGAGGGGCAAAAAGGGCCTGATAGGCTGGCCCCAGGGCCACAGGGAATGGATGGAGAGGAAAGAGGCTTGGTCACTGATGAGAGAAAGGGGAGAGATGAGAATGATTGTGACGTCGTGAGCCTGGCTTACCGAGGATATGGGGGAACCTTCACCAGAAATAGGGAATTTGGGAGGGAAAAGCATTTTCGGGGGGATGGGGAGAGAGAGATAATAAGTTCGATTTTGGACTTCTTGGGACTGATGTGCCTTGGAAACATCAAGGAGGAAACATGGAACAGGCATGACCAGAGCTTGGGGGAGGGCTGCATAGAAAGGATGCTTGACCTAGGGATGAGAGGTTGGGCAAACATTTGGCACTTTTTAAGCCATGAAGAAGGTGGGGGGAGATGAATGTTGAGCGAGCAAAGGACATTGAGGAGGAGTGCTCAGACAGTCCAGAGGAGAGCCAGGAGAAAGCGGTGTCGTGGAAGACAAAAGAGGAGAGAATATGAGCAGGAGAAGGTGGTCGATCCATAGTGGCAAGAGCTGCCAAGATCCAGGAAGATGAGGCTGAGGGCAGTCCATTGCATTGACCAGTTAAGAGATTGTCTGTAACCTTGGCAGTCTCAGTGAAGTAAGATTGCAAGAGGTTAAAAAGTGGATCACTGGGGAGGAAGTGGAGCCCAGATCATCATCAATGGCTTTTTCTTGGAGTTTGCATGTGAAAGAGAAGAGAGAGGGAAGGTGGTAGTTTGAGGGGAAGGCAACGTCAAGTAAGGGCTTTTAAGAATGAGGGAGATGAGGGCATGTTTGTGGGCTTTGGGGAAAGAGCCAGTACTTAGGAAGATATGGAAGTGGAGGAGAGAGAGGAAATATGTGGGCATGCTTGAGACAGAGAGACAGAGAAAGAGTCAGAAAGAGGGAGTGGGGAGGGAGGAAACGGGCAGAGAGAAACAGAGAGACAGAGAAAGGAAGAGGGAAGCCAGGAGGGTAAGGGCTAGGATGAGGGGCAAAGGGAGAGTCAGGATTGGCCTTGGCAGTGAAAAGGGCTACCTTTCCCTCTGAGAGGGAGCACAGGACAGAGAGAAACATCAAGAGGTGTGGAGGTAGTGAGTAGAGAAGCTCTTCAGCAGTCTCCCCTTCCCCTGCCCTGGGGCTGGGGAACACCTTGGAGCTCTGGAAGTG